CGACCCAGATCAAATCCATAAGTCTGATACTAGCCCATATGTCCGATGTTAGTCTTAAAGACTTATTCAGACTCAAGAAACACATGAAATGACACAAAAATCAGGAAGATCACAAGCCAGTGGGTGGAAAGTCTTATGGATCCAGTGGCGGTGTAAGTATCTCATGCTGGCAGGGGTGTTTATGTGGTTTCTCCAGCTCCAGGGCACCAACATTGCTCCATGTGTCTTAGCAGGAATGCCTCCCAGGGAGTGTGCATGTGTCCCTCCTCCAGTGCTATTTATCTCCTTAGCACTCCAAATGTGGCCATCAAGCTGCGACTGATTGACAGACTAAACTCCACCCCTTCACTCTTAATAGTCTCCAATTGACAATAAATTGAAACTACCACAATAGGATATCAAGAAGGTTTCTGTTTTATAAGAAAATGAATGGTTTTAATTATGTTGGAAGTTAATTAACAGCTAATGTATTTAACTGCTAATAGATCAAGTTCTCTGCTACTGACTGAAAGATTGGTGGTTGGACCCCACCAGCCACTCCACAGAAGAAAAAACTTGGCCATCTACTCCTATAGCAAATACATATAGGATAGAAAGCCTTAAGTAGCAATTCTATTTTTTCCTATAGGGTCGTGAGTCAAAATCAACTTGATAGCACACAACAGTAAGCATCAGTAGTAGTGATAGTAGTAGAAGTAGTTGTACTAGTGGTAGTAATCGTAGTATAGTTTGTAGTGATGCTTTTCATGCCAGTCACTGTTCTGATGTGCTTCATATACAACAAGTCAACGAATCTTCCTTACAACCCAATGGAAAAGCAATTGCAATTACCCAAATAAGCAAGAGAGGAAAAAGGGTTGTAAATAAAGATATAGATGGTTGTAGAATTCAACTTAAGTTCTCAAAGGGAGTCAGGCAATTAAGGAGAAAAGTCTTATTTATTTTAATCATCAAATTTCAATGTGTGAATAACTATCCTAGCCACAGCTCACTTTCAATGACAAATTCTCTAATGAGTAAAACTAATTTTGGTTGAAAAGATTTTTGTACCACTTAAATTTTTGACACATTGGGCACAAACTTTGCAAGACACATTTTCAGCCACCCTTGACATGGTTCCTTTACTCAAAGATGGAAAGGTGTCATGTCCCATCCACAGCTGATGCGATCACACCCATGGACACCTGCATCAACAAATACTATTGCATTCCAGCCTACTATTTTAAGCCTTCCACTTTCTCTCTCTTTTCATCTTTTTTTTTTATGTAGCAGATTTTAACTAGAAAGAAAAGAACTAGTATGTTTTCAGGCATTAGAAAAACCTGAGACTTTCTGTCCAGCCCACCCGGTCAAACGAAATCCTGTAGATACATTCATTATAAGGGGCGTGGAGGTATTACCACCTTCAGTGACAGAGACTGCTACAGACACAGGGAGTGTGTGGGAAAACTGGAATGGCTTGGGTGTTGGTGAAATTGAATTATTTGGATATCTATGAAGGAACTTGGCAAGATATATTGATTCTTCACAACCTTTTTCTTAACTTCATGACACATAGGACTGGTAATCCAAACAAATGCACAGCAAAGGGAAAATAATTTCCATCTTAAGCTTTTATGACTTGTTCACAAGTCTACTGGGGAAAAGATGATGAAAATTTTAGAAATTAACATATCAACAATTGCAACAACAATAATCCCCCAACCTACCATTCATCAATCACTTTAAAACAAAAATGAAAACGCATTTGGACAAAGAAACTAGAGGCTAATGGAAATAATGAGAATGTCCATGTATTATAAACACTGTAGTCAATGTCACTGAAACATTCGTATGGAAATGGAGAACTGGGGACCTAAATTGCTGTGCAAACTTTCACCAAAAACACAAGAGAATATAAAAAAAATCCAAAACAAAAAGAGTAACAGCAACAAAATAATGATTACTAACACTGGAAAGAAACTTCTTTCTGAAAATAATTAGGTGTGATTTTTTTAAATTTCATTTTTAATTTAGCTCACTTGCTAGAATCAAGCCCAGCAGAATCATCATGGCTATTTCGGTATTTGATGTGCTATTGTGTCTCTATAGATAAGTGAAATATAAATACCCTTGGCTATATCAGGTATGGGGCCCCGGTGGCATAGTTATAACACCACATGTTAGGATGCTAATCAGAGGGTCAGCAGTTTGAAACCACTAGCAGCCCCTAAGGAGAAATATGAGGCTTTCTACTCTAGTGAAGAATTACCGTCTCAGAAACCTACAGAAGCAGTTCTTCTCCGTTCTAAAGTGTTGTTATGAATTGGAGTGGTCTCGATGGCAGTGGGTTTGTTTTTTAATTGAGATATATACCTATCTAAATAATGAGACTTTTTGGGGGTCAAATTAAAGAGCATATATTGAATGAATATTTTATGCTTAATTTGCACTTTGCTTCTTTTTACCTATAATTTTAACTTAGTTTATTAAATATTAAACTACTTTTGATGGCAAAGAGTATTTTTGCCTGTTCTGAAAAAATGGATGTGGGGTTTTTTTTCCAGTTGACCCATTATATTTTTATCTTTCGAGTTATGGGGAACTGTGGTTTTTTGTGTGTGTTTTTTTGTTTTAAGATTCCCACCTACCACTGACAAGAGAGAGAGAAAGAGAGAGCGAGAGAGAGCATGTGCGCGCGAGAGAATGAGCAGGGAAACTATTTGAGACTCTTGTTTGTCCCAAGTAATTTTGTTTTAGAAATTCCTCTTCTTTAATGATAGATACAATTTTTGCCTATTGCTTTTTCCTTTTCCTAATCAGAAAACTCAACTTTTGTCTTTTGATTTCTCTAATACTGTTTGAAAAATCAAGAAAGTAGGTCTGAAAGTTAGTGCATACATGGATTTTGTAAATAAAGGGCATTTACAACTATAAGTTTTGTGGTTAGTACTCACTGCCATTAAATCATGTGACCCCTGTGCGTTTCCAAAACTGTAACTGTTTATGAGAGTAGAAAGCCCAATCTTTCTCCTGCAGAACTGCTGGTGGTTTTGAACTGCTGACCATGAGGATGGTACCCCAACACATAACCACTATACTGCCAGTGCTCCTCTTTGTGGCCAGAAGTCACATGCAATTTTGCTGAGTTCAGTGCCCTCATTTGACAACCAGGGGAAATGGAAGCTCAGAGATACCAGGCATGATCAGTTGGAAAAGACACTTGCGACCTCAGTTTGCTAATTTAGTGTACTTACACTAGCAATGTCAATCTGACTGCTACGGTAGGATGTCTACTAAGGATGTAAATTAAGAATTTTAAATAAAAATTCAGAATTCAAAAATAATTACTCATTCAAATAGTCTTAAGAGGAAATTATGCACTTTCCAATCCTTATTTAATCCTCCAGAAAGCCTGTTGAGATTGGTGCCATCACTTCCATTTTCCACAAAGCTTGAACTTGAAGAAGGGAAGTAACTCTTAACTAGAAAGCAGAGGAAATCAGTATCTTAACCATGACACAATACAAGATCATGGACAATCGGACCGGAAAACTTTATAAACAATGACTTCAATTTGTAGTACTATTAACAAAGCAGCTTATTCTCAAGGTCGTTGAGTGTCAGTTGACTTCCCATTAGATATTTTGGCTTTGAAGGGAGAGAGCAGAAAGAAATGTTTTCTAGATGCTATACTATAGAGAGAGGCTTAAAAATACTATTTAAAAGTATGAAATTATTTTACTTTTCAAAATTTATATCATAACCTATTAATTTTTACCTGGTAAGGATAGGAAGAGTCCTGGTAGTACAGTGGTTTAGTAGTTGACTACTAATTGAGAAGTTGGTGCTTTGAATCTACTACCTACTCTCCTACTCTATGGAAGAAAGATGTGACAGGCTATTGCTCTGTAGATTTATATCCCTGGAAACCCCATGTGGGAAGTTCTACTCTGTCCTATAAAGTGACTCTGATTCAGAATTGACTTGATGGCCATCTATTTGCCACACTAATGGTAGACCAGCCCAGATGTGTGGTGTCCGAACTTTAATCCAATTTGAGTACAGATATCTTCTACCCGTGCTACTTACTACCTAAGTCCTTTCAGCTTAGACGTTCTCTGATTTGGTTTAGTAAGTGACAAAGATACTTTAAAATTTGTGAATATTTTCTCATGTAAATAATGAATTCTATAAAGACTTTAAAAGTACCAGTCCATTCTTTTGTGTCAGCCATTTGCCTGCTATCTTTTGAAAGTATCAGTTCTCTCCCAATCACTTATATCCTAAATTATTAAAAGGGATTGATTAAGGTCCACCCAAGTGGAATTACCATATTCATACTGGGGCTTAAATTATCAAGGCATTTATTTATCGATGTGACATAGAGAATTGGGCCTAGATATTACAAAGATTCCTGAATTATTTCAAACCAGAACATATATTCTGCAATAAAAAGCCTCCATTTTCAGTCAAATGGGTGCAGAATAACTATGCTAGTTCAGCTTGATTTTCTTTCAGGGAGAAAAACAATCAAAAAGGTACACAAAGATTTGATTTGAGCAATGTTCCGAAGAAACATGTTTTATTCGCTTTTTAGGTTTGACAAAAGTCCAAAGTATAATATGCAGTCATCTTTCTTTGGACGAGGTCATGGATTACTTAGGGAACATTTCCAGAATCCAGCCAGGCGGCCTGTTGTCCTACCACCAATCCAGTTTGCTTTTTAGACCATAACCTCTCTGTCACCTCCATGCACATTCTGAGTTAACTTTGGGATTACAAAGTAATTTGATTACTAGACTGAGCCAAGCATAATTGTGGAATAGCTGCCAAGAAGCAATCAGATCCACTGCATTCCTTAATCAAGTCTACTCCAAACGTCTGAAGGGCCATCTTCCATTGCAGCCCACATGGATGCAGGATACATTTGACTGGAGTTCCAATTGAATGCTGCCCCCCCCCCCCCGCCCCCCAACACACAAGCTCTTAAAATACAAGAAAGTTGAGGTTAAGCATACCTGTTCTCAGTTGAGGGTTGGGTGCCAACTTATGTAAAACTTCCCCAGGAAAGAACACTTGAGCTTTAGTCCTAAATGTCCTTTGGGAAGAAGGCCTCTGGATGCCAGTCACATCCCAGGGCTGGTCCGCCCTGGTTCTAATGTGGGGCAGGTCCTTGGAAGCCTCTCTGTTCCTGGCAGTCGCACTGTGGCCCTGCCCCCAGACACAGCTGGGGTTCACACATGAGGATGTCCCAATCTGAAGGTGCAATAACTCCTGAAGGGAGGTAGGTGGTTTAAAAAAATAAAAAAAAAAAGGTAAAGAGACAAGAAGTTTTTTGGCCTAAAGGGGAAGCAGTTAGTAAGAGAAAATACTTTAACTTTAGCAGGTGCTGAAACCACAAATGCCCTGGGTCTCAATGCAAAACATACGCTGCATTTCAATCTTTTTTAGGTGGGAGGAAAGGCTGTTCTCACCTGTCTCCTATGTTCTGTTTCTGGGCTGAAGCAACAACAGGAGCAAGAGAACAAGCTGTTTCACTTTTTTTCCTCCCTTATCTGTTTACTGTGATAGCTTTTTTTTTTTTTGGCATCACTCACTTAGAGATCAAGCATTGAGATGAGATGTACATTGACCAGGGAAGAATTACCAGCTCCCACCTGGTCAGAAGTGAAGTGGTAGCTATTTGCCCTTAGTATATATTCCCATATAAACCTCTTTGTAAGGAGTGTGACTAATTAGGTGCTAGGGGCTAAGAGGAAGACTAGGATTGGTTGTCCTGGCCCACAGCCTGCCTTCTGTTACACTTTGGCTAGAAAGGCCTGTTGTTACCAAAGAACACGGGGCTTCTCTGATGGCATCTGGTTGCCCAGTGACTTGATTCACAACACACAGACCTTCGGGCAGCAAAAGGGAAAGTCCAGTGTGGGCAGCATGCCAGGCACCCAGTACCCATCTATCTGCCAGGCATTTATTTGGGGGGAGATCTCATTACAGGGGGTGGGTTACATGAAAGCGTCCCAGCTCACAGCAGAGTCAAGAAACTTTAAAAGAAAGGCTGTGGGTGACAAGTCCAGGAAAGAGACACATAAGCCCTCTGTCCTACCCACCTCCCACTCATGACACCCTTCCTGGGAAGACAGGGAAGCAGTCCCAGCCTGCAACTTGTTGCTTCTTGCCCACAGGATTCTGACAACAGTGAGACCCAGGCAAGCAGGGACAAACGCACTAACCACAAAGATGGTTAGCAAAATTCTCTCCTGGCCTCCTGTCTTTGTGGGATCTTGCTCAGTAGAACCCCCCTTCCAGAAGTACAGGATCCCCTCCCTGAGTAATACTACTGTAGTTTATTTTCACAGTAACTCTTCAACTGTGCTTCTGCCCTTGTGGCCCCTTCTTCCATTTTCTTTCTTCCTCAGGTTAAATTACTGGCACCCAGTGTCCAGGGAAAATAATGACATGTTTATTTCCCAGGCCTGGGTGGAGTGTGTCAGCAATGTGGAGCACCGTGAGAAAGGTTGCCAGCACTTTAAACTCACAGTCATTGAGGTTATAGGTGTGCTCGAAGCAATCTGTTCATTATATTTTAAACATTCCAACTAACGCACAATTAACTTTTATTTCATATCATGAGTTTGAGCAACAATTAGGTGGATTCTTTTCGGATTAAAAAAAGTTGTTAGAAAAAAACAAAAGTGCCCTCTCAACATCATTTCAGATGACCAAGTAAAAGAAAACAAAACAAAGCCAGCCAGCCAGCCAGCGGGGGACTGTCGATAGTTACCATGTCAGATCCAGCACACGGAGAAATAGTTTGGACAAGGAGAGCAAGCAAACAACACGCAAACAGCAAAACCCTGTAAGAAGCATCCTGAAGATGGCAAAGATAATGGCAGAGTCTTTCTGAGGCTTGTCCCCTGCTGTGTTCACCCTGCCCCGTCTGCAGCTTGCTCTCAACATGGCTTCATTTACTCTCTTGGCTAGTAGAACAATCACTTAATGTTCTGGATTCCAAACAGAGCAAATTAGGCCAGGTTGTTTTAGCGGCCATCAAATTGGCGCCCCACTCATGGTGACCCTTGACTCGCTGATTCCACGCACAAAAGACTGAAACCCGGCTAGATCTTGCTGCCCTGATGGGTTATCGATTAGACCACAAAGATTTATTTGCTGATTTGAGGGAGTAAATCACCTGGCTTTTCTGCTTAGTGCCTCTTAGTTTGGTAGCTTCATTGAAACAACAGAGCTTTGTTTGGCATCAGTGCTCATGAAGAGTCTTGGCTGGAAATCAAACCCAGGTCTTTGAGATGGAAGATAAGATTTCTACCACAGAACCATTGGATTATGATAGTTGATAAAATATCCAAGAGCCAGCACTGCCACCAGATCCAGAGTTACTGACACTCTGCTCAAATGTTGGTATTCCTAGGAAGCTATGAAATTGCCTTTATGATTTGTGGTACCAGGCATTGCTTGCCTTAGGCTATCAAAGAGCAAATCCAATTTAAAAGTTGTAAAAGGTTACAGTATGGTAGGCTGTTTCTCATAGAAAGAACATTTGCTTTGATTGGAAAAGCACCCTGAGTTCCTCCAATTCTAACGCTTGTAGTAATGAATAAACATGAGTAATAGTTTTACCATTAATATCCATGATCTGAATGTATAGCGTTAGTCTCCATCACTGAACATGCCATGTCAACATATCAGTTAAAAGTACCTATATTGCTGAACTTTGAATCTGACAGACCTTGGTTCAAATCCTTTCTCTACCCTTCCCTATAGTCTGACATGATGGCATGGTACCTGTACAATGAGGATAGAAATAGACTCATCTATTTAATTGTATAAGACATGAATAAAGAAAAAGGAAATGGTAATCTGTCAATGAGTGGCAATTATTATATTTTACACCCAAGAAAAGCAGGGTGGTGATCTAGCCAATTTCAACTTTTAAAATAATGATTTAAATTATTATTTAATTTAGTAATAATTAAATTAGTATTTACTTTTGTTAAATACAATTAAATACTTATTTATTTTTGTTTATTTTAGATCTCCTTTCAGTGAACTGTAAGCTCCACGAGGGCTTTGGAATTTCTGTATTTTAGTACCATAGGACCGTAGTACCATAGCGGTTGTAATTGACTTCTAACCTAAGGGTTCACAGTTCGAACCTACACAATGATTCTGTGGATGCAAAGTCTAATCCTGATCTTTCCCCATTAGTACCTCTCCTCAGGGGTAATTGTTCCCTGGGCCCAAGAATATCTGCTCACCCAGAGCCTGTGTTATCCCACTGTTCTGGATTATGCTCTGACATCCCGTATCCTGAAATTTTCAAATTAATTGTGTCTCTTGACATGGCCTAAGAGTGTCCACTTTTCTTCCTCAGACGACAACTATACACCTCCATACTGCAAATGTGTAGACCTCAGGGTTGTTCCAGCAACAATTTTGAATGTGTATTGCGAGATGGAGCATTGAGTGTCCACATAGGTTTACATAACTTCTGCCTCGCTTGCACTCAGACTTGGGATCAGATGAGAAGGATTGTGAGCAGTACTGTGTGCCCCCAGCTGCAAGCTGGGGCTGGAGTCTTGTCACTGGCTCTCTCTGCCCTGAGAAATTCTGGGGAGGAACAATGAGAAATCTGTGCAACTAAAAGTTGAACTTGACTTCTCATGTTACCATGAAGGTATACTTTTCCAAGGTGGGGAGATGGAACATGCTTTCTCCAACAGAAGTTGATTTATAAAAAGCAGCAAGCTGGCAAATGATTAACAGACTGTCTGAAGAAAAATTACTTAATTTGTAGTGTTTGCCATTTACCCTGGTATAAATTCTCCTATCATGGCCAAGTTCAAGCTACCGATGTGAAATCACTGAAAGTGTAGGTGAGAAGACGTGCACAATTGGCTCTTGTGAGTTTATAAGCACTGCCTCCAGCATATAACTGTTTAATCATTTTAAACATTAGATCTATGGTATAGAAACTTCCATTTATGCTCTTACCCTGTGCCCTCTAAGGGTTAATTATGGGCTCTAGTGCCTAGAAAATGTCAGGACTTTTTCACCTCTTGCTGAACATGTTTTGAATAAAAACCCTATTGTTTTTCTGAATTTGGGTAAGTTGTCTGTTTAGAAATTAGTCTGCACTTTCCAGGCTTCCCGACTATCTGACAGTGCACGTGGAAGTATCCAGCACAGTCTCTAGCAGCAATCAACCAGTGTTGTTGAAAGAATGAGCATTCGATTCCAATTAATTTTACATTCTCTTTATTATCATATCTCGGGCAATTCAAGGTTTTTATTTTAAGCTATTTTTATATGCTTGCAATTATTTTCAGTGGTTCCCTGGACAAATCAAATGCCCATTTCTTTTCGAGTTTTCTTTGAGAATCTTTTGTGATACACATCATATTTTTATGAAGTTCCCAAGGGAACAGACCTCATGTAGTTACTCATATTTAAAAGTCTGGTAAAATTCCATCTGGCTACAAGTCTGTTATCTGAGTCTAGGAAAGGGAAGATTGTTTTTGTGCTCTTTGTTCTCATCTGTGTTTCGTAACCTGGAAAAGAAGAGAGAAAAATGGCTTTGAATTACTTCTTGAGATTTAGCTCATTCCATATGTTGCATTTGGTGAGGAATGTATTACCTTTTAAAGCTGAACACATGAGACATAAAACATATAAATGTCCTCAATAAGCCATTTCCCCCTCCTCAGCAGTTATGTAGGGTTTTTTATTAGCTGAATGGCATAAATAGCTTTTTGTTTTAAATATTGACTTACATATAAAAGTTGTGTTAGCTGAACTGTTTCTATAAACTCAAATCCCTAAGAAAGGAACGTATTTCCAAACAGCAAAGATATTGCTTCCAGAAAATGAAACTCACTGCCTTCAAGTCAATTCCAACTCAAAGCTACCCTGTACAGGATATCTACGGTTTTGGAAATCTGTGTGGGTACAGACAGCCTCGTTTTTCTCCCACAGAGTACCTGGTGAGTGTGAACTGCAAAGCTTGCCATTAGCAGTCCTTATAGATCTTCTATTGTACTATAAAACACCAGCTCTTTCTAACAAACCTCAGAAAATGAGAAAACTATGATCAGATCATAAGAATATTGAAAATTTATTTGAAAATGTTGCTGAATGAAGATGCAGAATTGTCCATATGTGTATCCACTTAATGACAGTACTTGGACAAACATTGGTAAATTAAAAAGTATAATATGCTGTTTGGAAGAAAGTTGGATAACTAACTGAACACATTGATTTTACAAATGTGAACCTGCGCTACTTTTAAACTTAAGTAAAACCAGATCATCAGGGGACGGAAAAGAGCAATGCAAACATGTGTGAGGCAGGGACCA